AATTACCTAAAAATGATACCAATTTTGTTATGTTTTGACGCACGGTTGAAAAGTACGAATTGAATTTTATTTTAAGAAATATTAAACTATTTTATATCTTTATCACCTATAGTATTATTAAAACCCTAAACCCTATTTCACCGCACGCGCCTCCCGTCGTAGCTCTCGAACGCGTCTACTGGTTCGATCGCAAACCCTAACAGGCGCAACCCGTGGCTCGCCCCTCTTTTTCCCGAAACCTGATTCATCGTCCCCTCCTTGCCAATCTCGCTCGCGACTGTCTTCTCGCGGCATTCCGTGGTCCATTCACGCACGCAGCCTCCTCGATCTCTGCTCGACCGAGCAGCTTCCCAACGGTGGAACTCCACCTGGCCGACCCTTCCTCTGCCCTAGGCTGCATTTCTTCTTGCCTTAAATCCTTCCCATCCTCCCCCTTTACTGGATTTGCTTACCAGGGAGGCTGGTAGGTGGCTTCTCCTCTCTTCTTTCTTTGCTATAAAAACCTCATTTCGGGGAGTTCCTAGGGCTGGCCGAAATTTTCTTGAGGGAGAGGTGCTGCCAAAATCTACTCTAATTCCATTCTTACTTGTTCTTTTCATCCTATGCGATCTGAAGGTTGTTGAAAATTTCAAAAAAAAAAAAGGAGAGGAATAGCTTTGGGGATGAAGAGGCTGCATTTTTTTTTTCTTTGCTCTTTGAAAGGCTGTTTTACTTCTTATTTACTGTTGAAATTCTGAGAAAGTGGAGGTGCTGCCGGATTTTCTCTGATCTTTGTCTTGAAGTTGCTCTAGGTTTTCATAAAAAGACCTTGGTCCAGTGAGCATTTTGAGGGGATAAACTGAGGTACGATCATTACATTTAATGTTTAAATATGCTATTTGGGGACTATGTAAGGCAAATCATCTATCAGATAGGTGTCGGAGCTATGAGTTTAACAGATGTGGTCTTCTAACTTATGCTCGTACCAATCATGTTTGAGCATTTTAGGTTTAATTTTGTAACAATCTGCATGCATTCTACGACTGTTGTGTTTGTTCTTACTGACACTGCTGTGATCGCCTGCCTTTCCTTGGTTTGGAATGACAGATTTTATTTTTTTGGAGCTGTTCAGAGAATTCTGCATGCCTATGGTGTTAACTGGTAGCCTTATCCTTTCGTGGAACTTTCAACTCCCAAGATTCCATTACACTGTTTAGCCATAGCTTTGGTGCACGTCTCTTGCTGTGGCATATATTACTTGACTGTTAAGGTCCTAATTTGTTCACTCGACTGTTAAGGCCAAAAAATATATTTTTTTTTCTCAAAACTTTTCCTAATTTGTTCATCCAAGCTCATTAGAATTGCCTCTTTCCCATTCATTATCTTATAAGTTGAATATTGTTCCCTTTGCTGCAATTCAAACCAATGTATAGTCTCTGAAATCCCTCGATTCCATCTGTTGACAGCCGGTCAAGTTTATATTTTTTTACACTTTAATTTATTTCCAAAAGGAGTATGGCAGGGTGGTACTGTTTGCTACTGTGGAACCAGGTGGCGTATTTGCAAAACCTGAAGCATTTGTGGTGTTATATTTGCAAAACCTGAAGCATTCAAGTGTTATATTTGCAAAAATCTGAAACTTTTTTGTGGCGTATTTGCAAAAACCCGAAACTTTTTGGTGGCGTATTTGCGAAATCTGAAATATATGGGTATTATCTTTGTATATTCTTCCCTTTGTTGCAATTCAAACCAATGCATAGTCTCTGGAATCTCTCGATTCCATCTGTTAACATCCGGTTAAGTTTATATTTTTTTACACTTGTTTTATTTATTTCCAAAAGGAGTATGGCAGGTTGCTACTGTGGAACCATTAATCTGAAACTTTTTGGTGGCGTATTTGCAAAACCTGAAGCATTTGTGGTGTTATATTTGCGAAATCTGAAACATATGGGTATTATCTTTGCAAAATCTGAAACTTTTTGGTGACGTATTTGCAAAACCTAAAATTTTTTAGTGTTATATTTGCAAAAATCTGAAATATTTGCGGGGCTTGTTTGCAAAATCTGAAGCATATGAGTGTTATCTTTGCAAAAATCTGAGAGCATTGGTTGACTTATTTGCGAAAATCTGAAACGCATGATAGGTGGGATGTTAATTTGAGGCACTGTGTTCATTCTCTATTATTACTACGTGTTTTTCCACTTGTTGAGGCTCGATTTTGGCTCTTTGGAGCTGGATAAAGGCTAAAAATATTTTTCTGTTTTCATCATGTTGGATTTGTATCTCATTATAAACTTTTGATGAAGGATGTGATTAAATTATTTTTAACATATGTATGTTTTTCTAGAAGGCTAGGGAATTACTTCTTCCATTAATTAGTGTTTCTTCTTTT